AATGTTGTATAATTGTGTTCATATAGTTCCTGAGTTAGTTTTGGCAGATAGACTCCCAAATATTTTATGATGTCTACAGTAACTTTAAATGTAATTTCTCTTTCTATCTCTTGCTGTTCATATTTGTAACTCTATAAGAATTTTATTACCATAAGAGCAATTAGAAGAAGTATATTTAGTCAGAGGATGTGGATATAATGTGACTTTGATAGGATGATATCCCAAAAAACAAAATAAAAGGGTGAGAAAGAAAATGGCATTGTAAGAAATAGGGGGAAGATTAAATGGGCTAAATTATCCCACATAAAAGAGGCATGAAAGAGCTATGATAAAGGCAGGGGAAATGGGGGGGTGTTGGCAAAGCTTAAGCCTCACTCTCCTCAAAATCTGCTCAAAGATGGATAAAAATATTCATTAATGGGATATAGAAATCTATCGTATTCTGTAAGGAAGTAAAAAGGGACAGTGATAATAGAAGATTGAGGGGAGACTGATAAAAGAGAAGGTGTGTTGGGGAAGGCAGTGACCAGAAGTAAAATGCTTGTGAGAAGGGAAAAGATTAGGGTGTATACATAGGAAAATACATAGTTAGTTATCATAACTATAACTATGAATGGGATGAACTCACCCACAAAATGAAAGCAGATAGCAAATGGATTAGAAACCAGAACCCTACAATATGTTGTTTATAAGAAACACATTTGAAGCAGAGAGATACACACAGTGTAAAAGTAAGGGCCTGGAGCAGAATCTATTACGCTTCAGCTGAAGCAAAGAAAGCAGGGGTAGCAGTCATTATCTCAGACAAAGGAAAAGTAAAAATAGATTTAATCAAAAGGGATAATGAACTCAACTATATGTTGCTGAAAGACAATGAATCATATCAATTCTAAACATATATGCACTAAATGTTATAGCATCTAAATTTTTGAAGAAGTTGAACGAGTTACAGGAGGAAATTGATAATAAAACTATACTAATGGGGGGGGGCCCTCATATTTCCCCTCTCAGAACTAGATAAATCTAACCACAAAATAAAAAAGAAAGAAGTTAAGGAGGTGAATAAAATTCTGGAAAAGTTAGATATGATAGATCTCTGAAGAAAATTGAATGGGAATAGAAAAGATACACCTTTTTTCCAAGCAGTACATGGCACCTACACAAAAAATTGGCCATGTAACAGGATATAAAATCTCACAACCTAATGCAGAAAAGAAGAAATAGTAACACATCCTTTTCAGATCATAATGCAATAAAAATTACATTTAATAATGGACAATGGAAAGAGAGATTAAAATCAATTAGAAATTAAATAACCTAATCCTAAAAAACAAATGGATCAAAGAACAAATCAGAGAAACAATTGATAATTTCATTAAAAAAATGACAGCAATAAGATGACATATCAAATTTGTGGGATACAATCATAATGGTACTTACAGGAAAATTTATATCTCTGATTACTTACATCAATAAAATAGAGAAAAAATCAGATCAATTAACTGGGCATGCAACTAAAAAAAAAACTAGAAAAAGAACAAATTAAAAAAAAACCCCTTAATTAAACACCAGATTGGAAATCCTGAAAATTAAAGGACAGATTAACAAAATTGAAAGTAAGAAAATCATTGACCTAATGAATAAAATTGGAAGCTGCTTTTATGAAAAAAAAAACCCAACAAAATAGATAAACCATTGGCTAATTTGATTAAAAATAGGAAACGAGAAAATCAAATTACTAGTATCAAAAATGAAAGGGGTGAATTCACCACCAATTAAGAGGAAATTAAAACAATTGTTAGGAACTATTTTGCCCAATTATATGTCAATCTGAAAATCTGAATGAAATGGATGATTATCTACAAAAATATAAATTACCCAGACTGACAGAAGAAGAAATAACATACATAAATAACCCAATCATAGAGAAAGAAATTGAACAACCTATCAATGAACTTTCTAAGAAAAAAATCCACAGGACCTGATGGATTCACAAGTGAATTCTACCAAGCATTTAAAGAACAATTAATTCCAATAGTATATAAACTATTTGGAAAAATAGATGGGGAAGGAGTCCTACCAAATTCTTTTTACAACACGAATATTGTGCTGATACCCAAAACAGGAAGAGCTAAAAATAAAGAAAGTTATAGACCAATTTCCCTAATGAATATTGATGCAAAAATTTTAAATAAAACACTAGCAAAGAGATTAAGGCAATATATCACAAACATCATACATTGTGACCAGGTGGGATTTATATCGGGAATGCAGGGCTGGTCCAATATTAGGAAAACTATCAGCAGAATTGACCATGTCAATAACAAAACCAACACAAATCATATGATTATTTCAATACATGCAGAAAAAGACATTGACAAACTATAATACCTGTTCTTATTAAAAATACTAGAGAGTATAGGAATAAATGGACCTTTCCTTAAAATGACAAGTAATATTTATCTAAAACCATCAGCAAGAATTATCTGTAATGGGGATAAGCTAGAAGCCTTCCCAGTACAACCAGGGGTGAAGCAAGGATGTATTATCGCCTCTGTCATTTAATCTTCTAGTAGAAAAGCTATAGCAATAAGAAAAAAAATAAAGGAATTAGAATAGTCAATGAGGAAGCAAAACTATCACTCTTTGCAAATGATATGATGTTTTACTTAGAAAATCCTAGAGAATCAACTAAAAAAACTACTTGAAATGATCAACAACTTTAAGTTGCAGGATACAAAATAGACCCACATAAATCGTCAGCATTTCTACATATTACCAACAAAGTTCAGCAGCAAGAGATAGAATGAGAAATTTCATTTAAAATAACTGTAGACAATATAAAGCACTTGGGAGTCTACCTGCCAAGAGGAACCCAAGAAATATATGAGCACAACTACAAAACACTTTTCACACAAATGAAGTCAGATCTAAACAATTGGAAAAATATTATTTGCTTATGGGCAGACCAAGACAATGCAACAAAATGACAATTCTACCTAAATTAATCTGCTTATTCAGTGCCATACCAATCAAACTATCAAAAATATTTTACAGAGCTAGAAAAATAATAAAATTCATCTGGAAAAACATAATCTCAAGGATACCAAAGGAATCAATGAAAAAAATGCAAAATAAGTTGGTCTAGTCATGCCAGATTTCAACTCTGAGTTATCACCTCACACCTATTAGAATGGCTAATATGACAAAAAACAAAATGTTGGATGTTGGAAAGAATGTGGGAAAAATGGGACACTAAAGCTTTGTTGGTGAATTTGTGAACTGATCAGTTATTCTGGAGAGCAATTTGTAAGTATGCCCAAAGGGTTATAAAACATGCATACCCTTTGATCCAGCATAGGTCTATATCACAAAGACTTCTGCTAGGTCCTTATCACAAAAACATCCAAAAAGAAGGAAAAGGACCTATTTGTACAAAAATATTTTTAGCAACTCTTTTCATGGTGACTGAGAATTGGAAATCAAAGAAATATCTATCTATTGGGGAGTGGCTAAACAAGCTATAGTATATGATTGTAATAGAATACTATTGTGTTATAAAAAATGATGAGGATGATTTCAGAAAATAAAACCGAAAAGACTAACATGAACTGATGCATAGTGAAGTGAACAGAACCAGGATCACATTGTACACAGTAACACAATATTGTTCAGTGAAGAACTGTGTACTCTCAGGAGTACAATGATCCAAGACAATCCCAAAAGACGAATGATGAAGCATACTATCTGCCTCCAGAGAAATACTGAACTGATATTGATTGAATATAGGTTAAATATGTTATTTTTCACTTTCTTTCATTTTTCCCTTTTATTCAAGTCTTCTTGTAAAGAATGACTAATATGGAAATGTTTTACATAATTGCACATGTATAACCTATATCTGATTGAATACCATCTCAGGGAGGGAGGAGGAAAAGGAGAGGAGGAGGAGTGGAATATGAAACTCAAAACTTTAAATAAAAATGTTAAAAAATTGGGAAGCTTGGTATAAGTAGAAAAGCTCTTAAATCTCTTGAAGGTGGTCTAGCCTGCTTTCCTTTTTCAACTATGTTCTGTCTCAATTATTTATACTTTTGGACAAATTGGATGTTCATCCAAATGAATTAACAGATTGAACAATAGACGTTCTTCATTCACTTGGTCTGTGCCAGTTAGATGGACATGTCAAACTCCTTTGAGTGATCTTTGTCAATTTCAGGAGTCTTTGCTGTGGGTTCTTGGGCTTGGTGGAAAGAGCAACTGGATTACATCTGTCTATCTATCTATCTATTTATCTATCTATCTATCTGTCTGTCTGTCTCTCTACACACACACACACACACACAGAGAGATATATATGTATATAGATATATATCTATACATATATAGCATATACATATGCTAGTCCAATCCATCTGCTTATTTACATATCCTCACAATTATCCCCATTTTCCAGATAGAGGTGTAAATAGAATACATTTTCTGATCAAGTTCAATAGAAGGCAGTCTTTACCCTCCAAGAATTTATAAAATAAAATAGAATACTTAAGCTGAAATAGTCCCTACATATCATCTGTTTCAACTACCTCATTTTACAGGTGAGGCTAAGGGAAGTTAAATGATTTTTCCAAGTTTCCTCATTTAGCTAGTGGCAAGGCTGTGACAAAAAACCAACTAACTACTGGATTACTTTTTGTTATTTTCCACAGTGCTATACTGTCTCTCAGAAAGCATTATTCTTAGGGTTTTACGGTCTAGAGGATATCATATCTGTCATCTTCTAAATATCCTCTTTACAATGATCATCAAGAAATGGGAAATTAAGACATGTTGAGATTAGGAGTGTAACAGCAATGAATTCCCAACCAGTCTGGAAGCCACTGATTTCAAGTCTCATACAATGTGAGTGAACCACTTACAGCCAACTGAGTCAATAATATAGAGAGAGGGTATTGTAAATCTAAAGATTCTATGTAATTATTTATTATTATTATTCAAAGGTGAGCATTCCAGAGGCAAAACCAGGAGGAGCGGTGGAAATTCAGGTATGCAGTTTTCAGCCTGATAAAAAGAAGAACTTCCCACTTCCTAGCTGTCAAAGAGTAGGGTGGATCATTTCTACAGATAGTGAGTTCCCCATTCTTGGATGTGTTTAGAGAAATTAATTGACTATAGACATCATAATAGGCACTACTGCTTCAGGTACAGTTCAAACTAGTTGCCTGTCCAGGCTCATATTTGATGATTCCTGATGGGAAATGGAGGAGGTAGGTGAAATAGTTCAAGGTATTGTGAAACTGAAAGCTAACACAATGTAGTAATAAGTTTTTGCTTTGGAATCACCTGTATTTGATTCTTGGCAAGTCTTGGATTTGACTCCCAGCTTATATACTTACTAACAGTGTGACTCTGACCAAGTCGCTTAACCTAAGCATGTTTCCTCATTTGTACAATATCAAATAACAAAATTTGCACTAACTACTTCATAAGTAATATGAGGAAAAGACTCTAAATCTTAATCAAGTGCTATAAAAAGGAAATTATTATTTTAGGATTATATATATATATTAACATAAAGGTAATGACTCAATAGATTCATAGAATTCATGGCAGAGGGTAAGTTTAGAAATCATCAAGTCCAATGCCCTCATTTTGTAGATAAGGAACGTGACACCCAAAGAGGTCAATTCAGTTGTCTAAGGTTACCCATGAAAAAAGCAGCATAGAATTCTAACCCAAGTATGTCCCAGGACTCCAAATCCACCACTTTCCCCTCCATATAATGTGGCATATATAGTCATAAAATCTGGGTTTGAATGCCAGCCTGCCACTTATTCACCCATGTCATCTTGAGTAAGGTTATACTTCTATCTGCATCTCCATTTCATGGACTCATAGATCTAGAGATGGAAGTGACCATCTAGTGCAATCCTTTCTCTCCTTTTTATAGATGAGAAAACTGAGTCCCTGGAAAGTAAAGTGATTGCCCAAAGTCACAAAAGTAGTAAGGGTCAGAGACAGGATTTGAACCCAGGCCCTCTGGCTCCAAAGCCATTTTATCTTTAAAAAGATGACAGTTGGAAGATCTCTAAGATTTCCTTTAGCTATAAATCCTACATTACTATAAACCCCACCTCATCATAAAATCCTTAGCATAAAATCCTTTTAAAAGCAGAAAAGGGAACACTAGTAGGCTTGTAGCTGGGCCTTGACCCAAATAGCCCCAACATTCTGACAATCCTCTCTGGCACTCACAAGAATTCATATCCAAGTTAGCTTGTGAGGGAGTGGGTGGGGGGGGGGAACTAACCCTAGGACTCTAAGGCAGCTTTTCCATGAAAGGACTACAATGGGATATTTCATATTGGACTTGGCACAAATGGGAGTGACTGAATGTTCAGAGGGGAACATATGGCAGGTTCATTTTGTCTCCAAGAGCCTAATTACTGACCTGACACCCATTGCTTCAAACAGACTAGTTGAGCAACTAACTGGTAAACGGACACATCTGGTAATGTAATTACCCCATCATCTCTTTATCCACACTGAATCCTGTCATTATCTTTGTTTTCCTTGATATTTATAAAATATAAGCTACTGACTAAAACAATTTAAAATGATATATTTTTGACTTCTCCCCTGTTGGGGAGAACTTCATAAATGATGTCACAATAAACTGAAAATGAGAGAAAACATGGAAAGAGAATTGGTAAGGACTGAAGGGTGAAGAAAAAGAGATATCTTTGCCTGGGCTCACAGCTGCTAATGAAGTAATGGGGAAGCCAATTTAATGAGTTCTGAATAAAAGTTGCTGTCAGAGACTGAGCTAATGACAAAGACTCAAGAAGGTAAAGAGTAGGTACTGTAATAATCTCCAAAGTATCTCCCTTGCCTTCATCCCTTTGCACAACCTCTCACTGCTGAGGGAAGGAACTGAGGAAGAAGGAATTAGAAAAGAGGATACTCAATTAGCTAAGAGACTGGGAAAGAGAAGGAAGAGGATGAAGAGAAATGAGATTCTCCAGCAACCCCCACCCTCACCTTCAGCTATAGAAAAGTGTTGGAAATCAATGTATTTCAAGCTAAATCAGAGCTCTCTTTTACTAGAAAGGGGCTTTAGGGATCCACAAATGGAGATAGCTTGGCTCCCATTAAGGCAAAAGTCAAATACATTACAGTAGCTGTACAGACAAATCAGACAATGTCTCTAACTAGTAGAGACAGAGAAGGGAAGAATAATCAATTGAAACATTCGGCACTTTGCAAGCAGTTTTTAGGCACCTATAAACAAACCTATGATGCTAGGTCCTCAATATAATGATAGATAAAACAAGGTTTCTGGCCTCAAGAGTTTCCAATCTAACAATGGAGCTAAGATCATGACACAGTAATATTAATAGAAGGGTTAGTAGCAGGAGCAGTATGACTCACTGAAATACACACATACATACATATAGACATGCGTACACCACTAAAATATACATATATACATACTACTTATACATATACATAACTATATGTATACAACATATATATATATGAATACACATATACTTAAATATATATCATTTATAAAGTATGTATATACCCATATTTTATATAAAGAACATACATATATAGTTACAATAGTCACGTTAGGTTGATAGCTCAGATGACACCGTTCGGACCTCATTTTACAATTTTTAATGGACCTCACAGAGTCTCAGAAAAGTTAAATGAGTTCAATAGTCAAACAACTATCCAATAAACATTTGTTAATGACCTACTATGTGCAAGGCCCTGCACTAAGTGCTTGAGTTTTCATAGATAAAGACAAAAAATAGTCCCATCTCTCCTCAAGGAGGTTCCATTCCGCTGGCAGATGCAGCATATAAATTGATAAATAGACAAGAGGAAGGTAAGGCCCAGGGAGGGCCAAAGGTCACATAGAGGATTAGTGATCATGACAGGAATGGAATCTGGGGCTCGTGATTCCCCAACGGAAAATGCAGTTTGAGATAGTAGAAAGAGCCCTGGCCTTGGAGTCAGGAGCCTGAGGTCATTCTGCCGTGACACTTACTCTCTCTATAAATTTGGGTAAGTCATTTTACTCCTCTAACCCTCAATATTCTTATCTATAAAATCTGCTTCTCTATTACATTTTTTTATATACATAGAAAATTTTCAGTTTTCTTATCTGGGCAGCTTGGTGGTACAGTGGATTAACATACTGGACCTGTAGTCAAGAAGACATGAGTTCAAATCTGGCCTTAAACACTAGCTGTGTGACCCTGGGCAAGTCACTTAACCCTGTTTGCCTCATTTTCCTCATCTGTAAAATGGAAATAATAATAGCACTTACCTCCTAGGGCTTATGAGATGATCAAATGTGATAATATTGCTAAGGTGCTTAGCACAGTGCCTGAAACATAGTAAGTGCTATATGATATTAGCTATTATTATTATGTATACAACATAAGGTGGAGAGTATAATGTTTCTGTTCCATATAATACTTATACTCTCTGCCTCACAGAGTGATGAGGAAAACTCTTCATTGGACTTAAAGCACTTTATAAATGAGTTATTTATTTCTTGTTCCTATATGTTTTGTGCTACACCTGATTGCTACTGCTATTTATTTACTTGTGGCCATCTCCAAAGAGAGGACAATGAAAGATCTGGTTCAGCATTTCCCCCAGTCTTATTTTCTTATCGTTCACTCCTTTTTTCCTCTCTGGGTTCTGCTTCTGACTCCCTGAACTTCTTTTTCCACCAGGTCCAGGGGCAGCCTTCTCACCCTGAAAAATCACTCCACCTTTATGGCCCACCTTTATGGTCAGCTCTTCTTGGAACCTCGAGTTTACAGGAAGTGTCCAGGTTAGTCACGTTCACTTCCGCATTCCTTTCTGGCCTTTTAATTCTCTGGAATTCTTTCTCCACCATGAGTACCTTCTTGCCTTTCCTTTTTCCCTTCTTCCCACCCTCCCCAATCAAATTTCATATTTTTCTGTAGTCTTACTCAATTAGAATGTAAGTTCCTTGAGGGCAGGAACTATTTTGCTTTTTGCTTGTATTTGTATTTCCAATATTTGGAACAGTGCCTGGTATATAGCAAGTATTTAATCAATGTTTGTTGTCTTGTTGACTTTCCTCCTTCTTAGGCTTTTCTTAATCTTGCAAATCTCATCTGTAGTCAGTGATTCTTTATGCATGATAGGCATTTAAGTATCAGAGAACCACAGAATGTCAGAGCTGGAAGGGGCTTTAGAATCGTATAAAGCAGCATGTCAAAAGCAGAAGGGCCTTCAGTGTCTGCTGGTTTAGTCATTGAATTTACATATGGGGAAACAAGCCCAGAGAAAAGACTGTTTGTCTATATTGTATAGTTAGCAGTCGAATTGGAATTTGAACTCAGGTCTTCTGACTCCAAGCCCTGAGCTTTTAAAACTTTATTGAATTTTCACATTCCCAGAACACATCATCAAAGCAGATTCAAGGTTCTGTGACACATTTTCTATCAGCTAGAAAAGGGCATTTTAAGCAGAGTACCAATCTTTATGATTTATTTTTGGCTTATGACTTGGGAAAACGCCACAGTGCTTTCTTACAATGTTGCCCTGACTTGCATCCTCCCTGTTTGGGAGTTTAGGGTGTGAAGGCCAATAAAGTGAATTTTGAATTACATTTGGTATTTAATTAACTGGCATAGACTAAGAAAAAAAAATCCATGGGAGCATTCTGATTGCAATCATTGGATAGATGGGCATTTTTATCTTAAAATAATGACCAGCTTATCTTCTGTCTTTCAATTATCTTGAGTGATCCTATCTGGTTTTATCCAGGACAATCAAATACAGAAAGTTATTAAGATTCTATCTTGGAAACTTATCACCAATGATAGGCTCTTTAATCTTAATGGGCTTGTGCACCATACCCTGCTTCATTTAAGAGGGCCTAGGCAGGCGAGACAAAGTGGCAGAGGTTACTTCTTACAGCCCTACTGGGATTCTTTCCAGAGCAAAAGAATGCTATATAGGCCAATTACTGGTATCTGGGGAGCAGTGACCATCCTCATGACTGGGACAGGTCAAATTATTGTTTGGAGGAGGGTGAGGGGAGTGTTCTTTGAAGAAAAAAAGGAAAGAAATTGGTGGGCTCAACTGGATCTTTGTTCTGTTTAGTGACCCTGTTATCCCAATGCTTTCCCCAGACTCTGACATATGATATCAGGTCATTTTATTGTCTTTGTGCTTCTAAATACAAAAAGGAAGCTGAGCTATCTTGGTGATCTGCATAGTAAGGAAGACAGTTGCTAGAAATAGTTTTGCTTCCTACCCCCACTCCAACATAGAACCAAAGCATGACACAGATGGCTAACAGGGACTGTATATTTTCTCTCTTCTTGATGTGTGGCAACACATCATTCTTCACTATCTATTGCCTCAACCTGGATGTCTTGGAAAACAGTACTGGGTCATTTTTTAAACCTTTGCCTAGCTGGCACATAAAGGTCTTCCAAGAAGGCCTCAGGGAACACACAGAGAAGTTTTCTCACATCTTTGGATCATCACACCCTATGACGAAAAGCTAGGACCTTCTGTACCTGACCTACCCAGGTTGTTGTCAGTGACTCTTCTTGCAAGCATACAGATCACAAAGCTCTAAGAAGAGAATGGGCTTATTTTCAAGTTGAAAACAAAAACAAAAACAAAAAGTCTCTTATCAGAACTCAGGGGAAACATTGGCATCCACAAACTAGCAACTATTCCCCAGAGACCTCCAGATCTTCAATCACTTAAAGCCACTTCTTAGGATCATAGCAGACATATCTCAAGAGATTCCCATTTCCTTATTCATTTCAAATGGCAAATTGCTAGAAGAATTATCAATACTGAGGATCTCCACTTCTTTAGCACATACCCCCCAACCTTTGCAATCTGACACCACCATTCAACTGAAGCTGCTTTCTTCAAGGTGTCCAATCTCTTAATTGCTAAATACAATGACCTTTTCTCAATCTTCATCCTACTTTATCTCTCTGCAACTTTTGATCCTATTAACTACTCTCTCCTCCTACACACCCTTTCTTCCCTTGGATTACATAACACTTTTCTCTTGGTTGTCCTCCATTTAAATGTTTACTTTTCTTCAATCTCCTTTGCTACAGCATCATTCTTTTTTTGACCCTTCTGAGATGTTCTCCAAGTGTCTGTCTGGGACACTCTTCTCTCCATACAAATAATTTCTTGATACTATCATAATCTCCCATGAGTTTAAGTATCATCTCTAACCAGACTATCCCTCCCTTCTATATATCAAGCCTTAACATCCCTCTTAATGTACAGTTACAACTGATCAATACTGGATAGCTTTGTCTCCTTGGATGTCCTCTAGGTATCTCAAACTCAACATGTCCCCCCTCCTCAATTCCCATAATCAGCCACCCCAAGTCTCATTGATTATATCTCCATAACATCTTTTGTATTTAATATTTTTCCTCATCATTCACACTGGTTCAGGCTCTCATTACTTCTTGCACGGTGACATTACTATTTTGGTTTCTTAGTTGTTCTTGTCTTTAATCCAACCATTGTAAAGCTGCATGAGTAATCTTCCAAATATAAGACCATGGGATCAAATATTGTTATTCTGTTTCCCTTATCTGCTAAATAAAATACAATCTCCTGCTTTTGACATAGACCCTTTGTGATATGATCTAACTTTATTTTCCACTTTTATTTAATACTTCCCCTTCAATAATTCTATGTTCCAGTCAACTTTGACTGCTCAACACTGTTGCCTGATTTCCATTCTCCTCTCTAATTTCTATGCATTTGAATTAGTGGGGTTGATTCCTCTCCTACCTGAGGTTGCTAGTAGTATAGTGGACAGAATGCTGGGCCTGGAGTCAATAACACCTGAGTATAAAGCTACCCTCGGACACTTACTGGCTATGTGATTCTGAACAAATCATTTAATTTCTGTGTGCCTCGATTTCCTCAACTGTAAAATAGTAACAGCATCTACCTCGCAAGGTTGTGGTAAGGAACAAATGACATAATATTTTTAAAAAACACTTAACATGGCACATATTAGACACTATATAAATGATTTTCCCCCTTTTCTCTTAACAATCCTTGTTGTGAAACTTCTCTTTTGAGACTCACTTCAGAAATTATATTTCTTTCTTAATAAATCTTTCCTTAGTCTCCTTAATAAAAAATCTCCTCAGGCCTTGCTATTTATTCTCTCTTATCTATGTGATCGAAGTCTAAATTATATAAAGATATAAGTGTATATGTCTTTTTTACATCCTACTAATAATGTAACAATAACCATTTTTATTTACATAGTGCTTTAACCTTGCAAAACACTTTACACATATTATTTCATTTGATTTTTTGCTATATTATATTTTCCTTGAGGACAGGGAATGTGACTTCTACTTCTTTTACACACCCCTCAGTCTCCAATATTGTGCTAGGCACTTAATAGGTGCTTGATATAGATTGTCCCAAAAGTCTTCATGCAGTTTGAAGTTTTTAATGCTTCAAACTACGAAGACTTTTGGGACAACCTGTATCAATTTCTTTATTATATTACAATGACTGACAACCTTAGAGCTTTTTGAAGTTTGCAAAGCACTTTAACTTACCTTGTCTCCTTGTTGTTTGTCCTTCATTCTCTAAGTGAGAGGATGCCATGATTTGTAAGTGAATTGGATTTAAGTGAGGGAGGGCAGTGCAAGGTCACCAGCCTCACTTTCTCCTCCCAGAGCCATCTGGAGTGGCAAGATGTAGATTAGGACAACTGAAGCCTTACTGAAATCCTCTAAAGTAGGTACTATGGTTATCATCATTCTTATTTTAGAGATGAAGAGTTTGAGGCCACCACAGATGAAGGGGGTCTCCCCATCGTCATATGGGGAACTGACAGAAACAGGCTTTGGACTTCCTAACTCCTAGGTCAGCAGTCTAATTGGTAGGAAGAGATTACTCTCCAATGAAATTAGAAAAAGTAAAGTATGAAAAATATGAAAAAAGAAGTTAACACATAGTCCACAATGCACACCAGCTAATTAGAAATACTGATATGTATAAATTAATAAATAAAGTATTTATTAAGCATTTATTTTGTGGAAATCTTTATGACTTAATAAAACTTATTTCTTTGATTTTGTGTGCTTTTAATCAGTTCATCTGTAAGGACATTTTAGGAGGTAAATTTCATGAGATTGGTATGCCCTGAAGGCCCTAAATTTTACAAGATCACTGAATTTCAAAGCTGGAAAACAGTTTGAGATCCTCTCTTTTTAACTCTCATTTTACAGATAAAGGAACTGAGGACTCCAAATTTTAAATAACAATAATCATTGTAGGGGACAGGGAATAAGGATTAGACCCATGATCTTATTGGCATAAGGAACTCCTGGGTAAGGAGTTTGACATATTGATTACAACTTATAGGCTTAGAGAGTTGCCTAGAATCCTGAGGATTTAAGTGGTTTGCCTGGAGTCACATAGATAGGATGTATCCCAAGTAAGACTTGAATACAGGTCTTTATGGTTCCAAGACCAGCTCTCTAGCCACTATCCCCTGACTCTCATTGTCTCTTCCAATAGCTGATAGTTATATAACACTTTTAAGGTTCAAAAACTCCTTTACAGTATCTCATTTGCTTTTATCCATGGTTATATGGATAGTAAGAGGCATACCTGGGACTTGGACTCAGGTGTTCTCACCCAAGAACAATTTTATTTCCATTATACCATCATTCCTTGTCATGAAAGATTTTTGCCTTTCCCTGTTAGCATAACTCTTTTGACCTCCTTCTTGCATTGCTTTCCTTAAAGGGTTGAAAGGAAGGCGCTTTGTCA